TATGTGCACTGACCCACCTGCTGGGTGAGGTCTTCACAAGCACCAGCATCTTTGGAGATCTTTACCTTCAAGCCATTGGCAGTTGTCACCAGCGGGCCATTGAAAGAATCTAAGCGGGATCCAGAAAAATTAGCTAAAAATCATTCTTTTTTTTTTTTTGCGGTACGCGGGCCTCTCACTGTTGTGGCCTCTCCTGTTGCGGAGCACAGGCTCTGGACGCGCAGGCTCAGCGTCATGGCTCACAGGCCCAGCTGTTCCGCGGCATATGGGATCTTCCCGTACCGGGGCACGAACCCGTGTCCCCTGAATCGGCAGGCAGACTCCAAACCACTGCGCCACCAGGGAGCCCTAAAAATCATTCTTGAAAAGCATGCTGATGGAGAAGCTTGGTCCCGGAGAAGTCTGCGGACCTGGATCTTAGGGTTGGCTCAGATGTTGGGATGTTACAGAAGACTCTGACTCAGTCTGGCTTAAAAAAAAAGGAAATTTATTATTTTTTATAACCAGAAGTAGGATGAGCTCCAGGCCTTGTGGGATCAGTGGTTCAGTGATGTCATTTTAGGAGCCAGGATTCTTTCTGTCTCCCCAATCCCTTTATGCTCAATGTTGGTGACATCCTAACACCAGGCCTGCCAGTTCCCCTTCATGGTTCCAAGTTGATTCTCACTAAGACTGCCAGGTGAACAGAGCTAGAGGCTTCCCCAGTCACGACTAGCAGGCAGAAAACTCTCCCAAACATGGACTGTAAATCCTCTGCTTCAGTCTGATCAGCCCAACCTGGGTTTCCATTCTGGACCTAATATGGGTTGTCATGGGAATGCCCTGTTGATGGGCTCAGACCTGCCTTATCCAATATGGAAGCTACTAGCCACATGTGGCCATTGGGCACTTGAAATGTGTCCAGTCTGAATTAAGAGAGGCTCTAAGCATAAAATACTCATCAGATTCCCCAGACTTCTCTCTGTCTCTCCTCTCTCTGTCTCTGTCTCTTTCACTATCTCTCACACACAAGTAAAATATTGATTTAATGTTTTTTTATATTGATTACGTGTTGAAATGTTAACATGTGTTGGGTTTATTGGGTTAAATGATATTTATTATTAAAATTAATTTCTCCTTTTTATTTTTACTTTCTTAATGTGGCTACTAGAAAATTTTAAATTACACATGTGACTCACTTTCTATTTCTATTGGGTAGTACTGGCTTAGAAGAAACAAGGGTCTACTTTCAGAACAGGAGATGGAAAGATACCTGAATAAAATCGTGGTTCTTTTAGAAGGAGTCGTCTTTTCCTTTTGCAATGATACATATGTATATATAAATCTATATAATTATATATATATATTTGCCAATATTTAGCAGAGAGGATGAATGAAGGGCAAACAGTGTGGACTGTACACTCAGAGAACTACTTATGTGAAAATGTGCTGCGCTAAGGGCTGTGGGGAGAGAAAATGCTGACTCAGCAGGGGAGGTAAGATACGCAGGCATGTGAGTGGTGCAGATAATAGAGGTTGTGGGATTTCAGACTTTGGAGAGTTTCTGTCCAGTGTGACAATGGAATGCCAGTTTGATCTGGGCCTTGAAGTAGATGGGGCTGCAAAGAAAGAAGTCAACTGGGGAGAATCGCCTTGGGGGCCTTCTAGGTGGAGGGAAAAGCACAGAGACAATGCTGAGGCAGGAAAGTAGGAATCGGAATTTTCGTCTAGCTGAAGCTGGGGGTTAAAGAGAAAAGACTGGGTCACACTGCTGAAGGCCTTACACCGCCGGGGTGAACCTTAGTAGCAGATTTAGTTTAGGATGGCTGATGGGAACACCTCTTAAAGAGGTATGGGCAGCAGCTGAACACAGTTTTGCTAACACATCTTTAGCAAATGCGCTTAATTAAGCCAGTTCACATGTCTACTGCCCTTATGAAGCATTCACAGGTCAGATTAGTGTCTGGATGTGTGAACTCTGGCATGGACTGCCTGAGTTCTAATCCTACCTGTGCAATTTATTAGAGGTGAGATTTTGGACAGTTTACTTAACCTCTCTTTGCCTCAGTTTCCCTATTTGTATAATGTGAATGATAGCAATATACTTACTTCATAGCGTTATTGTGAGGGTTAAATGAGTTCAAGTTCTTAGAGCACACAGCAGGTGCACATAGTACGTGCTGTGAATTTGTTAAAAAGACAACTGGTTGGCTACTGCTGACTACACAGAGCTAGGATGCTAAAAAGCCCTCTATTTTTTTATTGCTAAAAAAATCTCTATTTTTTTCAAAATTTGTCTATAGGTAGGTAATTTTTTTTTTTTTTTTTTTTTTCTGGCTGCATTGGGTCTTTGTAGCTGCACCCAGGCTTTCTCTAGTTGCGGTGAGCAGGGAGCTACTCTTCGTTGCTGAGCAACGGGCTCTAGGCGCTTGGGCTTCAGTAGTTCCAGCACGTGGGCGCTAGAGCGCAGGCTCAGTAGTTGTGGTGCACGGGCATAGCTGCTCCGCGGCGTGTGGGATCTTCCTGGACCAGGGCTTGAACCCGTGTCGCCTGCATTGGCAGGCGGATTCTTAACCACTGCACCACCAGGGAAGTCCCTGTATACAGGTAAGTAATAATCATGTGTAGATAAAGATAATGCTCAAAGAGAATCCCCAGGAAGAAATACCCTTGTCAGGTCAGCACAGTCAGGCTAGTTCCACATCCGCTTCCACATTTGCTAACCTTGCTTTGCTGATATCCACAGAAATTGTTGCAGAGTTCACAAATAAATCTCCAAGTATTTAACAAAAGCGGTGCAAAATACACGAACTAGGTCTAAGAGTTCTTTTTTTTTTTTTAGCGGTACGCGGGCCTCTCACTGCTGTGGCCTCTCCCGTTGCGGAGCACGGGCTCCGGACGCGCAGGCTCAGCGTCCATGGCTCATGGGCCCAGCCGCTCCGCGGCATGTGGGATCTTCCCGGACCGGGGCACGAACCCGTGTCCCCTGCATCGACAGGCGGACTCTCAACCACTGCGCCACCAGGGAAGCCCAGGTCTAAGAGTTCTTAATGAAATAGGATATTTTTCAAAATGCAGTGCTGAATTGGGCTTTCTTTTCTTTTTAAACTGCATCTCCACCTGCTTCCCTCCCTCCCTCCTTCCTTTTCACTGGGAGTGTGAGGGGTAAGGAGTGTTTTCTGAATTCAGATAAATTGCTCAAATCCCCCAAGGTGACCCTAGTATCCTGGTTTGCCCCAGACGGGTTTTCGGCCTTCGTCCATGTGACTCATTAACATACCCCTTTCCCTTTTAGAAGTCTTTTTTTGTTTGTTTCTGTCTTGATTTTTATTTATTATTTAAAGAGAAAGTCTCTTTCTTCAGACAATTTAAAGAGAACACAAGAAATAAGTAGAAATCTGCTATTATTCAAATTGGTCAACCCAATATTGTATGTATTTATATTACTGTAATCTATCAAGCAATCTGGGTATCCTTAGAATGTTTGTTAAAAAGCACATTTTGAATTTACCTATTTTTACTATATATATATATATATATATATATATATATATATATAGCAGTTGGGGATTTACCTTCATTCTATAAAAATTAAACAATGTATGATTCATGTCAGGTAGAATATGGATATTTCCCTTTTTATTTTTATAATTTTTTATTTTGTTGTTAACCATTTCCTAATCTCATGAGATTCTGAGATGACCTTTTTTTCCAAGCTTTACGGTAACTGCTAAAGTTCAGGTTTGAACTGATCCATAAAATTTAGCATTGTAGTTCTCTATGACTCTTGTCTGACAGAGTGTTGAGTAAGTGAGATATTGACACCAGTGGAAAGTTTCTGTGTGGGAGTATTGAATGACATTTGATCATTGGTTATCTTTTTAAAAAAATTTAATTTATTTTTTATTGAAGTATAGTTTATTTACAATTTGTATTAATTACCGCTGTACAGCAAAGTGACTCAGTTATACATCTATACACATTCTTTTTCATATTCTTTTGCATTATGGTTTATCACAGGATACTGAATACAGTTTCCTGTGCTATATGGAAGGACCTTGTTTATCCATTCTAGATATACCAGTTTGCATCTGCTAATCCCAAACTCCCAATCCATCCCTCTCCCACGCCCCCATCCCTTGGCAACCACCAGTCTATTCTCTATGTCCCTGTTTCAAAAACAGGTTCATTTGTGTCATATTTTAGATTCCACATATAAGTGATATCATGTGGTATATGTCCTTCTCTGACTTATTTCATTTAGTGTGATCATCTCTAGTTGCACCTCTTAGAAGTCTTGGTTTGGATAATAAACCATATGGTTAGCTCATCTACAGGAAAATGAGAGGGACTCTTCATGTGCTGGTGTATCAGGGATTGGGGGTATCAGAGTATGGGGATTCGTGTGTTCTTGGAGGCTGGGAGGGAGATCTGCGGGACGGGGGCAATGCATGGGTGGGGATGGCATCCTGGGCTTTTGGGCTGGCAGGAAGCTGTCCTGGGCAGAGCACAGGGGACGCTGAGTGGGACGCGGAGGCGATGCTTCTCCCCCAGCGCGGCGCGTCCTCCGCGACCTCACTCTGCTCCGGGTCTCGCGGAGCCAGGGCGCAGCGGGCAGGAGCCCCTTGGGCTGCACGGGCGGCTGGGTGTGGGGTGAGGCTGGGGGCGCGCCCGGCCAGCTCGGGGGCCCTGCTGGGGCTCCCCCCTCCCCCCCCCCCGGGACACTGAAGAGTGCCCGCCCCCGCCAGCACCGCTTTTCATCCTGCGCACCGGCAAACGGGCCGACGACATCAATCAGGGTATGAAACACATTCTATTGATTTTGGAATCTTGGCTGCAGCTGCCAGATTCCTCGAGAGACACTGAGTCCCGGACAAGAAACCCCAAGCTCAACACGTTTGTAGTAGACGATTGCTTTTTCCAGAAAAGAGCTCCTAACCACCTGGGCCTGGGCTAGCTTCTTCCCCCAGTGTCTGTTCCCGCCGAAGGGCGAGTTCGTCCCCCGCGAGAGGCAAGCCTTCACCCCTGGCCTGGAAGCCGAGGCTGTGATCTGGGCCCTTGCGCCTTTTTTCAGGATAGTTTTTGGTGAGTGAGGAGAACATGTACAGGGTCCTTCCCACCCCCGGCGTCGGCGTGGGAGTCGATTTGGGGTCTCCGGGCGTTTTTTTTTCCTGCGCCGCAGCGACCCTGGCCTCTGGGAATGAGATCCCACGACTCCTGTGAGTTTTACAAAATAACGTCATTATATTGTAATCGTAAAAGCTAGTTCTGCATCTTAGGCAAAAAAGCAAGAAAAGAAGGTTAAGTAACAGTCACTTTTACTTTTTGGAAGCGTCCCTGGTGCCCGGAGCGGGTGTAGACGCCGCCGCGGCTGGCTGGGAGGCCCATCTAGGAGGCCCCGCTGTGACTCTCCATTGTTCGCGCGGCCCGGGCTGACTCGTTCTAAATGCTTCTCTTTGTGTTTTCTCTCCGCGAGCGCAGCACAGATGGTTGCTCTAAGAGGCATCTTCTTTCCTCAGACGAAAGAAATCTAGTCTTTGAGAGTTCCGCTGCACGAGTCAGCTAAACTATATGAGTTAAACTCCAGTTTCCTGAGAGCTAGAAATATCTGCTCCGCCCCACCCTGATGGGAAGTGCCAACAGTTCGTGTTTCGCCACCAAGTGGCTCAAATCTGGAGGATTTCTTTGGTGTCCAGGGCAAAACCGATCTGCGCGCCGTGAGTGGTTTTTAGGGCAGTGAAGCTGCAGTGTAGGCCGAGCTGCTGCAGAGGGAGGGGTGTGTGTGCGAGGAGGGGGCGCGTGCGCGCACACGCTCCTTAATCATCAGTTCTTTATGAAATTGTTACGGTGGAAACGGTGGACATTATACTGGGATATAGGAACGAAGAAGATAGCAGAACTGAATGGCATCCTCCACGGTATCTTGTGGGGTTTTTTTGGGGGCAAGTAAATACGGGTCGTTTGGTATGGCCTGTGGGCTGACAGGGATATCGACAGGGGCCACCTTTGTAGGCCACAGAAGCCACTTCACGCCCAGGGTGAGGTATAATTTTTGAAGGTGATGACGCCGGGGGGCGGCTCTTTCCAGTAAGAGCTCCAGGGCCAGAGACTCTGGGTTTGGTTTTGGAAATATAAGGGGACCAGTTCTGGGGCTGACCCTGAGTTTCTGGGGTTTTTTTTTAAAACGATGTGTTTTTTCCTGATTAAAAAAATCAATTTTTATTTTCGAAAATTGAAATTAAATAAAAAAGCTCAAAGGAGAAAAAAAATGAATTACCTATTATTCCACTGTCCAGAAATTAACATTTTGGTGTGTGTGCGTGTGTGTGTGTTTTTGTTGTTGTTGTTGTTGTTTTGCGGTACGCAGGCCTCTCACTGTTGTGGCCTCTCCCGTTGCGGAGCACAGGCTCCGAACGCGCAGGCTCAGTGGCCATGGCTCACGGGCCCAGCCGCTCCGCAGCATGTGGGATCTTCCCGGACCAGGGCACAAACCCGTGGCCCCTGCATTGGCAGGCGGACTCTCAACCACTGCGCCACCAGGGAAGCCCTGTTTTTTCGTTTTAATGCATATTTTATTCAAACAAAAATGGAATCGCTGTATTCAAGAGAATTGAAAACATATGCCCACACAAAAGACACCTGTGCATGAATGTTCACAGCAGCATTATACCTAACTGCCAAAAAGTGGAAACAATTCAGATATGTCCATCAGCTGATGAGTGGGTCAACAAAAAGTGGTCTATCCATTTAATGGAATATTATTTGGGACTAAAAAGAATGAAATGCCGATACATGCGGCAACGTGGGTGAACTTTCAAAACATTATACTAAAAAGAAGCCAGACACACAGACAGCATGTTATGTGATTCCATTTTTATGAAACGTACAGAATAGGCATATATATAGAGACAGAAACTAGATTAGCGGCTGGCAGGGGCTGGGGGAAATGAGGTTTCTTTCTGGGGTGATGAAATGTTCTGGAATTACATATGTGATAGTTGCACAACTCTGTGAATGTACTAAAAACTACTGAATTGTACACTTTAAAAAAGATGCATTTTATGGTATGTGAATTATATCTCAAAAAAGCTGTTATTAAAACAAAAGCAGGTATAATCTCACTATACCCAGTAATATATTATGAACATTTCCCTAATATTCCTAATAACTACTCTTCTGTAATATTTCTGTTTTCAATTATCAAAGTAATGCACATTCATTCTAAAAAAAAATTAAATAATGCAGAAGAGCGAACAGAAGAAAGTGAAGTATTTCTCCCCCTGCCCAACTTCAACACCTTCCAAGTACCTGCTTAAAAATTATTTTTATCTCATACTCTTCTGTTCATAGAAACTTCAGTTTCAGTGAAAGCCCAATGTTTTGTTTTATTTTTAATTTTCCTCTTCCCCCCAACTCTGTTTTCATTCTTCCCTTTGTTGCCACTCACTCTAATGTGTTCGTTACATGTTCTAAATTATGCAAGTATCCCTGGAAAATATCATGTTTTTGTATGGGTTTTTAATTTTCGGAAGTGGTTATTGTGCTATTAATTCTTTTTACACAGCACATTCTGAGGCCTCTGCATGTTCTTGGGTGATATTATTCCATAATAAAATTCACCATATTTAGCTTATCTATTTCCCTAATGAGGGACACCTGGCTCGCCTCCAGCTCTGTCACAGTGAACAGTGTGGTGTATATGCTCCCTTAAGGACTTGAAGGTGGGATCTTCGGATCTATCATTCTGTGACAAATACCCAGGTATGGGGCGGTATACCGGGGCAAAGGACATATTCTTATTTAATTTAAATACAATCATTTGCTTTCTGGAATGGATATGCCAGTTTATATTCCCTTCTTCCCCCTGTGGACAATAATTTTCATCTCCCCACATCCTTTGTCAACACTTGGTAGCATCAAACTTCCTAATTTTTATTAATTTGATGGGTTGAAAGTAATATCTCGTTTGAGTTTTAGTTTGCGTTTCTTTTTGTTTCTATAATTACTAGGGAATTTAATCACTTCTTCATATGCTTGTTTGACATCTGGTGTTCTGTTAAGTGAACTGTTTATTCATTGCTCATTTTTTCTGTTGGGTTTTCTCACTTTTTCTTGTTGATCTGTAGGAGCTCTGAAAAATCTAGATACTGAACCTCTTCTACTGACAAGATGTTGCAGTCTCCTCTAGTCTGACATCTGTTAACTTTGTTTGGTATGTTTTGCTGAACGGAAGTATTTAATTTAATGTAGTGAAATCCATTTAATTTTCCCCCTACTCCGAGGTGCTAAAGATATTTTCCAATGTTTTTTGCTATTCACTTTCTAATTTTACATTACTACTATTTTTTTTAAAGTACTTATTTATTTATTTATGGCTGCATCGAGTCTTAGTTGCGGCACGCGGGCTCCAGAGCGCATGGGCTCTCTAGTTGCAGCACCTGGGCTTAGTTGCCCTGCGGCATGTGGGATCTTAGTTCCCCGACCAGGGATTGAACCCATGTTCCCTGCTTCGGAAGGTGGATTCTTAACCACTGGACCACCAGGGAAGTCCCTACATTGCTACTGTTAACAGAACCTTTTTCCATGTATGTATCAATACATCCATAATTTGTTTGTTAAAAATACGATAAAACAATGTATATTGTTAGGTAACTCTTTTTCATCCTCCAACAAATTGTATGGACATTCTCCTCTGTGTCTATTTCAGATCTTCTTACTGTTTAATGGCTGCATAGTATTCTCCTCTGTGAATGCACCATAACTTCTTTAACAATTTCCTTACTCATAGAAAATTGACAGTACTCTAAAAAATGCCTGGTGCTTGGTCAAGTATTTTTAGGCTGGATTACCATAGGCAGAATTGCTGGTTCAAGGACTGTATTTAATGTTGACTTACTGACAAATTACTCTCCAAAAATGTGGCAGTGATTTGTATTCCCATCAACAGTGTTCAAACATGATTTGCTGCTGTTGTAGTTGTTACATAAATTAACCCAATTATTATAGGCTAGCAATGTTTCCAATGGTGGTACTTCTACTGGTCTCTCAATTCCTTCAGTCTCTGATGGCGACTTCACTGTGAGGGTAGTGGTGGTGTGGCCCAGGCACCACCGGCCACCGTTTTGATGCATGAACTGCAGCTTGTCTCTTCATCTGGGTTTTGCCACAGAGGAGTAGGTGTCCTTGGCGTGTGGGCTGATTTTCTTCATGATCTTCCTGTGGGAGGCACTATGTTGACATCTTCCTGTATTGACGATGGTTCTGACCTTCCGGGTGCATTTAGCCACATCGCCTCAAACTAGGTCCAAGCCCAGAGAGGAACCAAACATGGTTTGTATTTTTTTTGGTTTTTAATTTAATTTAATTTTAATTTTATATTGGAGTATAGTTGATTTACAAAGTTGTGTTAGTTTCAGGTGTACAGCAAAGTGATTCAGTTATACATATACATATATACATTCGTTTTCAGATTCTTTTCCAATATAGGTTATTACAGAATATCGAGTAGAGTTTCCTGTGCTATACAGTAGGTTCTTGGTTTTTAAAAATTAATTAATTAATTATTGGCTGCGTCGGGTCTTTGTTGCTGCACGTGGGCTTTCTCTAGTTGCAGCGAGCAGGGGCTACTCTTCGTTGCGGTGCACGGGCTTCTCACCGCGGTGGCTTCTCTTGTTGCGGCTCTAGGTGCACAGGCTTCCGTAGTTGTGGCATGGGGGCTCAGAAGTTGTGGCTCACGGGCTTAGTTGCTCTGCGGCATGTGGGATCTTCCCGGACCAGGGCTTGAACCCGTGCCCCCTGCATTTGCAGGCGGATTCTTAACCACCGTGCCACCAGGGAAGTCCCCAGGAGGTCCTTGTTGATTATCTATTTTACATATAGTAGTGTGTATGTGTTAATCACAAACTCCTAATTTATCCCTCCCCCTCCACCTTTCCCCTTTGGTAACCATAAGTTTGTTTTCAAAGTCTGAGTCTCTTTCTATTTTGTAAATAAGTTCATTTGTATCATTTATTTTATATTCCAAATATAAGCAATAACATATGAGATTTGTCTTTCTCTGTCTGACTTACTTCACTTAGTATGCTACTCTCTAGATTCCTGCATGTTGCTGCAAATTGCATTAGTTCCTTCTTTTTAATGGCTGAGTAAAGTTACATTGTATATATAGTACCACATCTTCTTTAACCATTCCTCTGTTGATGGACATTTAAGTTGCTTCTGTGTCTTGGCTACTGTAAATAGTGCTGCAATGAACACTGAGGTGTATATATATTTTCGAATTATGGTTTTCCCCACATATATGCCCAGGAGTGGGATTGCTGGATCATATGGTGGCTCTATTTTTAGTTTTTTAAAGGAACCTCTGTACTATTCTCCATAGTGGCTGTACCAACTTACATTCCCACCAACAGTGTAGACGGGTTCCCTTTTCTCCACACCCTCTCCAGCATTTATTGTTTGTAGACTTTTCAATGATGGCCATTCTGACTGGTGTGAGGTGATACCTCATTGTGGTTTTGATTTGCATTTCTCTAATAATTAGTGATGTTGAGGATGTTTTCATGTGCTTCTTGGCCATCTGTATGTCTTCTTTGGAGGAATGTCTATTTAGATTTTCTGCCCATTTTTTGATTGGGTTGTTTGTTTTTTTTGATATTGAGCTGCATGAGCTGTTTGTATATTTTGGAGATTAATCCCTTGTCAGTTGCTTCGTTTGCAAATATTTTCTCCTATTATGAGGGTTGTCTTTTCATTTTGTTTATGGTTTCCTTTGCTGTGCAAAATCTTTGAAGTTTAATTAGGTCCCATTTGTTTATTTTTATTTTCATTACTCTAGGAGGTGGATCCAAAAAGACATTGCTGTAATTTATGTCAGAGAGTGTTCTGTCTATGTTTTCCTCTAAGAGTTTTATAGTCTCCAGTCTTACATTTAGGCCTTTAATTCATTTTGAGTTTATTTTTTTGTATGGTGTTAGAGAATGTTCTAATTTCATTCTTTTACCTGTAGTTGTTCAGTTTTCCCAGCACCACTTATTGAAGAGACTGTCTTTTCTCTATTGTATATTCTTGCCTCCTTTGTCATAGATTAGCTGAGGTGTGTGGATTTATTTCTGGACTTCCTAGCCTATTCCATTCATCTATAAGTCTGTCTTTGTGCCAGTACCATACTGTTTTAATGACTATAGCTTTGTAGTATA